AAATAAGAGGAACCATGCTATTAGAGCATTTCTCCAATTATTTGTCCCGTTGCATTGAGTTTGAAAGGACAAATCTTCCTAAGTGTGTATCTCATCTTTTGGACAGCTTTTTTTGGCGAAATTTGTCTTGATTCTGCATAACTTTTCGAGAGGAATGCCAGGAAAAATACGAAGTTTCTCGAAAATAAGAGGAACTATGCTATAGAAGCGTTTCTCCAGTTATTTGTCCCGTTCCATTGAGTTTGAGAGGGATATATATGGGGGTTTGTATATACATGCTGAGTTGTGTATAGTGTATGAAAATGAACGTGCTATCACGCGACATTATAGGCATAACATGTAGATGAGGACTGAGCTATGTCCCAAGAACGAGCAGAGGCTATAAGGAAAAGTGGTGAGAGTGGGGTTATCAGTTCTTTGGACTGCCTACATCTTTGCATGGTTGATCGAAGACACCAGGCCTACCCAGTCACGCGCATGACCAACTTCTGCATATTGTCCATAAAAAATCAATAAATTCAAAAGAATGGTCATCGCGTGCCTTCTTCAGTCCATGAAACCCTAATATCTATATATAATGAATTTACATAACGTGGATACTAGTTTCCCTAATGCTCACCAATTTTTGTAGCTTAGATGCACCAGATTGAGCTCCTAACTAAGGGTGCTAAGTACTGGGAAGAGATTACCATAAGCAATATGCGATCAAGAAAAGTTATTCGGGTTGTTAAAGTGAGGATATCAATCAAGAAAAGTTGGTCGATCATCAATGACAATTTTTTTGTGTACACAAAGAGTATGACTCGCCGATGGTGAAAAGTCATTTGATTTGCGAATAATCATCTTGATGGCATTCCAAGCATCATATAATAGGAAAAAGCGTGACTTGTCAATGGTCACATCAATTAATCTTAAATGTCATGTACCGAAAGAACACGACTCTTGATCGATATAAATGATATAATTCTTATTTTAAGCTATATATTTTCTTTTCATACAGCTTCATTGAGAAAGTTTTCTAGTGGCCTTGTTGTATCCCAGGGTGTCTTGTTTTATTTTCTTCTCTCACCATAGTGAGGCAATAACACTTTTAAGAAAGTGGTCCACAGGCCTAGGTGCCTGTTTTCGTTTCCATCTACAGTTTATTTTCTTTAGCATAATGTGGATGTCAAACCTAGGTACGATTGTCTGGATATTTACTATTTACATATATCAAGATATGATTAATAGGTTTCACATAATTAATGGAGGAAGAATTGATATAGATAAGGGTTGAGCTAAACGGCACTGGATTTGCCACGTCTCATTCCTCTAATGATCGCACAAATTGCTTATGAGATTGGCGATTCTCCGTAAGGTAATGTAATGAACATTGACAATGATTCACCAACTAAGGGTCTATGGACATCAGCTCGCGGCTCACCTATGAAAATGTGTAATTCCTCAAAACAGGAAAACATCAAATGCATGTGTCATCCCACGTTTCAATCGATCGAAAAACCCTAAATTGCTGAGGTATATTAGTTTAGGTAGATATAAAAAAAAGTTAAAAAACCTACTGGGGAATCTCACACGTGGGTAGCTTCAATACCTATGCAGCATAAGTCCAAGCTACTTTCTTTTGGAATCATGAGGACGTCCACGGAGATTTAGGGCCCGTTTGGTAACGTGCCAAATAATGAAAATTTCTGTTCTTTTGTTCCCAGAAATAGTTTGGGAACAGAAATGCGTTTGGTAAAATTTTTGTTCCTGGGCACATTTTTTCAAAAATTTGTGCCAAGAAACAGTTTTGGAAGAGAAACAAGAAGTAAAAAAAAGTTGCTCCTTGTTTTTTGGCACAATTTTGAGAATCAGTTTTTTTTCTTTTTTTTCTTTTCTTATTTTTGTGTTGTTCTTCCCTGGCCGGGCCGGCCGCGGTGACCGGCCACAGCCCCAGGGCCGGCGAGGGCGTCACGGCCCTCGCCGGCCGCCGGCGGAGGCGAGGGTCGCCCTCGCCGGCGAGGGCGAGGGCCGGACCTCGCCGCTCGGGCGAGGCGGCCTCGCCCGCATCGAGCGAGGCCGAGCCTTGCCGTCGGTCGCTACGGCGAGGTCGGCTCGCCGAGACGGCGAGGCTTGGCCTCGCCTGCATCCGGCGAGGCCGAGCCTCGCCGTCGCCAGATCCGGGCGAGGCCGAGCCTCGCCGCTCTCGGGCGAGGCCGCCTCGCCCTCGCCGGCGAGGGCGACCCTCGCCGGCGAGGGCGACCCTCGCCTCCGCCGGCGGCCGACGAGGGCCATGACGCCCTCGCCGGCCCTGGGCTGTGGCCGGCGACCGGCCATGGCCAAAGAAGAAAATGAATAAAAAGAAAAAAAAAATTAAACAATTCAAAATAATATTAAAATATTATTTGGGAACAGAAATTTTATGTAGTTACCAAACGCATTTATGTTCTTTTCTACTCTAGGAATAGAAATTTTGGACAGTTTATCAAACGTCTTCAAATACTCAGAAATTGTTTCCGGGCACAGAATAAAAAAAAATCATTTCTGTTCAGAAATAGCTCCGGGGCACAGAATGGTATTCATGCGCACCCTTAGTACCAAACATTTCCCTCCTTTGCAACATGTGAGTAGGATGGTTTTTGTGGCAAACCTAATTCTAAGTGCATTTATACGTTTGCACCGACAATAATGGTAAGATCGACTGTCCTCTAAACAGTCCAAACTATTAGAGAACACAACACGGTTGTATAATCAACTTGCATGGAATTCTTTGAATTCGAGAGCATGGGAGAATTGGACCTGTATCGTGCGACTTAATCACGTCACGCATCGTTCTTCAATTTTTGAACTTACTCGGGAGTTACTTATAAAGCGAGGCTAGTTATAGCAAGATCAATTTCCTAATCAAGCGTTAGATCAAGTGAGCCGTATATTCTCGAAACAAGTCATTCAACATAATAAAATTTGCAAATAATCTCAGTAGATTCAATATCATCTCTTGTTTATAAGATCACTAGCGAGCACAAAGAGGGTCATTGGTGCGATTGCTCCGCACGCATGATTGTCCGCAGCACCACATAATTTACAAACAACTTTCACCCACTTTGTCTTTAAGTACCAAAAACAATCTTTAGTGCCTTGTGTATAAAGGATTCTAAGCACTGTACAATCATGGGTTGCTTTCCGACCCTTAATTAATCATCATTATTTTTAATCCCCTTTTTTTAGATTAATTTCCTTGGTTTTCGATTAATTAATGTTTGTTTTTGTTTACCCTTTCTTTCAAAACCCATCTTCCAAATTTTTTAATGCCAAGGATGAGCTGGTGGGAGAGCATATGGAAACTCGGGTCTACCCAGATCCCATTTCATAAAGTAATAAATCATCGATGAATAAAACAAGAAGATGACAAAAATTGTACTAATTCTTTATTAATCACTATTCTATCCCTCCTAATCTTGTGAGGGAACACAAGCTCATCGGAAACATGAACGAACAGAGAGACAATGCATCTCCACACCAACTGATTACGATTCTTTATTTTCATGCAGCATATAAAATCTCTCACTGGTGACAAGTGTTTGCGTGTACCAAATTGTTAATTAGTGCTAGGATATGATTAACCAAAAGGGGTCCCAAAACCCTAATCTCATGTCGTGTTGATGACCCTTGAAGCATTAAATTCTTTAGTTTCTAGAAATAAAAATTCATGGGAAATTTTTCTCATGTATCTGGTTTTAAAGCTTCCGCTAACTATCCGCTTTAATCACCAATTTCATCTTCAAAGTCGCGAAGATAAGAGAAAATGGGTGATCATTCGCAGCTGACGAGTCAATCAGCAACCATATTTAAAAACCCTAAAAGTCAATGAAACTGTACTAGCACTGCGTGTGAAGACCACTGTGTACTTTTGAACCCAGGGATATCATGACGAGGTCAAGGTCAGTGTCTTTCTGGGATGCAATATCTTGACAATGAATTGAAGCAAGCGTATAATGGATTGTATCAGCATCTTATTCTTGTATCTTTCTATTTTTTGGTTTGCTCAAGAGCATTTTAGCCCTCTTGGGAGACGCAAAGTTTTGATGTTTTTTCTGTCCCATTTGAATAAATTCATAACAGGAGCCTGAAAATCACTAAACTTTCAGCTGGTACTTTTTCAATGAATCAACAGGTGTTTCACAAACATGTGCCTTGATGGGCCAGTGCAAATCATGAAATGTGTGACTAAGGCGACAGCATCATTAAATACGGGAAGATATCGTTTAGCTAGGTAGTTAAGGCCTTGATTCTCATTGATCACTATTCATGACAAGCCATGCAATAATGCTGTCAGAAATTTCAGCCGTGTTCTAATAGAAAAGGGAAGTGATGGTGAAATGAAAGAAGACGAAGGAAACGACGTGAGATAATAAAAAGGGACGACATGGCTATAATTTCAAACCCAAGTGATGCTAGCTCAGCTCAATTGATATGGGAATCATATCACTGCAAACGCATAAAGCTGTGAAAAGCTCACTAAACCCATGATTTAAATTATATAGGAAACCACACCCTCATTTCTCTCTTATTAAAACGAAATGATGAAATAAATAATGTGATGGATTATAAGTGAACATCTAATAAATCAATCAATTTCGATTTTTGATGAATTTCTACGCATCGCTTTAGAAACCAATTATACAAATCGATCTTACAATCTGGGCATAATTGCATGGAGTTTAGGGTCTCCTTCATCAGATGGGGCGGCCTTTTTGATACTTACTTTATGAGTGAAGAAATGGTGCCCTAGATGGATGCACAAAAAAGTTCTCGGCAGAAATATTTTTTTAACACCTATTGAAAAAGAAGAAAGGCAAAGTATGTGCAATAATATTAAACAAAGTAAAAGATTTTATCTCTCTCTCTCTCTCGGGAGGGTGGAGAGAAAGAGAAAAAAGGAAAAGACAGAAAGTGCAACGTCAGTTCTTCAAGCCGTATGGTTTCTTTGGGTTCTGTGGCATTTTCATTGAGAGGTATCCTCTCTCTCATCCACATCTCTCTCTCTCTCTCTCTCTCTCTCTCTCTGAGCTCAAGAACAAACTTGGGTCTTTGGGTCTTATAGTATACTCTTTTGTTCACATCTGTGTATGGCTATGGTTGGATTTTCTTGGTATTAGCAAGAGCATGTGTTTATTGAGACATGGAAGAGAGAAAAAGCACCTAATGAACTTGAGGTAGCTCTTTTGTTCTTGTTCAGTTCCAGTTCTCTCTCTCTCTCTCCAGCTACTCCTTTTTTTCTTCTTATTTTTGTGCTGAAAAACAAAGAATTGTCTCTTAGGTTGATGCCAAACAAAGAGTGAAAGAAAAGCCCATCACAGATGTGTGTCTGTGTATGTATTATCGTCTGAAAATCAAGTGATAATACCATAGCCAGCCTTGCTTGCACTTAAATCGAAAAAAGAATGTTGTGTCCTTATTATTTGTTTTCTTCCCTTTCGCTGACTCCATCTTCGTTATTTAGTACAAGCTAGCATTTAATGCATGTAGAGACTGGAAAAGACCTGGATTTAATCTGTTTTTTTTTTCACAATCTCATATATACCTCATTTTTTGTTTCTCCTTTCGTTATGGAAAAAGAAGCAACACCATAATCATCATCACCATCCATGGCCAAGAGTTGTGAAACCTCAGGGTTTCAAGAATCACTGCATGCCTGAGAGAACAAGATGATGAAGGGCTTGATATTTCAGCAACAGCAACAGCAATCAGGTGTTGAAGACAACATGTCCAATTTGACTTCAGCTGCTTCTGGCGATGCCACCAGTGCTTCTTCAGGCAACAGACCCACTGAATTATCTGGTCCTATCAATAATTATCCTCATCAACAATATAACTTTGCTCCACCACAACCTCCAACGACTCAGATCACTCCCCAGCCTCCTCTGAAGAAAAAGAGAAACCTGCCAGGCAACCCAGGTAAAACTTGAATCAAAATTCTCAATTCTTTTTGTGATATTTTCCCAATTATTGCTCTTCTTCAGTTTTTTTTTTCTTCGGGCAGGAGTGTGTGAATTTACTAAACTTATGTTTCTTGGTGCCGTACGCTTGTACTGATGCTATTTACTTTGGTGTTTGAATCAGACCCAGATGCAGAAGTGATGGCTCTATCTCCCAAGACTCTGATGGCCACAAACAGGTTTGTCTGTGAGATCTGCAACAAAGGGTTTCAGAGAGATCAGAACCTACAGCTCCACAGAAGAGGGCACAACCTCCCATGGAAGCTTAAGCAGAGAGCAAACAAGGAGGTCATAAGGAAGAAGGTGTATGTGTGCCCTGAGCCGAGCTGTGTCCACCATGACCCATCAAGGGCTCTTGGGGACTTGACTGGGATCAAGAAGCACTTTTGTAGAAAACACGGTGAGAAGAAGTGGAAGTGTGAGAAATGCTCAAAGAGGTATGCGGTTCAATCAGATTGGAAGGCTCACTCCAAGATCTGTGGCACTAGAGAGTACAGATGTGACTGTGGAACTCTTTTCTCAAGGTAAATATATCAAACCCAAAACCAAACTCGTTATCTTTTTTGCGAAAGAGAAATTTTTTAAATGTTTTTCCTTTGGGGACTTCCATTAATGCACAGTGGTCAATGCTATGTGCATCCTTCACTTGTGGTGATTTAGAAAGGAAAGGAATTGAATAGCCCCAAAATTCTATCTGCTGAAATCCATTTCATTTTTGTGTCTGATGCATTAAATTGAGCAGATTTTGTACATTCCTTCGAACTAACACAGACAGAGAGAGGGGATTGGTGATCTGTGTGGGGAAATTTTTAATGCACCAGCTTGTGGGTGGACTCTGGACTGTCTGTTTGTTAGCTCCTAGAATAGAAGTGGGAAAGTGTGAAGGAAAAAAGAGAATGGTTTATACAGAAAGCCAAAGGAGGAAGAGAGAGAGAGAGAGAGAGAGAGAGAGAGAGAGAGAGAAAGTCAAATGAATACGATACTTCTTCATTGTCGTCCTCCTCCTCACCACGAGCACTTTTTGGATATTTCCGCTTTTGTTTTTCTTGTAAAAATTGTTTCTTTGCTTGTTCAAATTTGTTTTGGGTGTTTTTTTTTCCGCAGGAGGGACAGCTTCATAACCCACAGAGCATTCTGTGATGCATTGGCAGAGGAGAGTGCAAGAGCCATGCCCAACCCACTCCTCCTCTCCTCAGCTTCACAAAACATGAACTTGCCACCCCAGTTCATCAACACCCAAAACATCCCATTCACTCTCAAGAAAGAAGAGCCACAACACCACCACCACCACCACCACCACCACCAACAACAAATTAGTAGTTTTGGGCTGAGGCAAGACCAGATTCCACCATGGCTGGCTTGTCCACCACCTCCACCACCACCCATTGACCTCTCCCCCTCGTCGTCATCAATCTTCTCCACAAGGCTAGACCAAGAATTCACCCAAAGCTATGAACCCCACCGCTCAACTCAGCAGAACCCAAACCCTAGCCCCAACAACCCTAGCCTTGGCCCCACCTACCCCCCAGCAGCACCCTCACCTTCCCCAAACATGTCTGCAACTGCGCTCCTCCAAAAAGCAGCCCAGATGGGTGCAAGCATGAGCAAGAGCAACGCTAGCTTCTCATCCCCACTCAGTGGGGCTCACCAGCAGAAGCAGCAGCAACAAGAACCAGCTCACTTGTACCCTACATCCTCTACTCCTCCTGATCAACAGCATCCAGGTAGAAACAATAATATCAATAACAACGGCAGTGGGAGTGGTGGCTTTAGGCTGAGTTTGTCCTCACATGAAGAGATGGCAAGTGCTGGGTTTCACCATCACCACCATGTGCCGGGCTTGGTGGCTCCATTTGGGAGCAACAGAGCCATACAAGACATGCTGATGACTCCTGGTAGTGGTGGCTTTAAGGGAGCTTCCTCCTTTGAGGATGCTTTTGGTGGGATTCTCAGCAGCTCTTCCAAGAAAGATAATGACGACATCAATGGTGACAGTATTAATAACCAGCACGAGGCTTTGAAAGCCGCCACCCAAGGCGGCCTCCTTGTGCGGCGGCAAGATGTCGGCGGCCGCGGGAACAACGAAGAGTTGACGAGAGATTTCTTGGGTCTGAGGCCACTCTCTCACAGTGACATTTTGAGTATCGCCGGTCTTGGAAACTGCATGAGCACCACTTCTTCTCAAACTCAAGTGCCTCAAAAACCATGGCAAGCTTAGGCTCTATACAAAGAGGAAGATTTTCTAAAAACATCAGTTTCCTTTTCCTTTTTTATGTTCTTTCATAGTATATGTTGAATTTTGAGGTTCATCACCATCATCATCTTCAGTATTTTGCTACCAAATCTTCTTCCCAAAGGGAAGGACCAAAAACTCAAGATCCTTAATATATATACTTCTCTTATAAATGGTCGTAATATTATATGACAAGTCATTTATTTTTAGTCTATGGTTGTTTGTAATTCTTATTTTTACAATCTTGTTATATAATAACACAGCATGGACGGGAAAACCTAGGTTCTTTGTGTTAACAGAAAGCGATGCTACAAGATAATGACTTATGCAGGGGTTTGGCAGTTTGGTGCTTTCCTCTTTGTTTTTTTTAATGCTACTCTTTGTGTCATAAAGTTCTTATGCTTCTACCAAATTTTATGCATGGCACATGATCACAGATAAAATTTGGGGTCCGGTCGTTTTTTATGTGCAAGGCTTCAAACGACGAAGATTGATTGCTTCCTTTTCTTGGGACCCGAACGGAGATTGGCTGTTGACTTTTCACTCTAGATAGTGATTTTTGTCCCAACATATGTGCTTCACTTCTTGATTGTTTCTTTAAAAAAAACTCGTCTACCGAACAGATATACTAAGTTATGTAGCAGATTGTAGATGGATATTAAAGTTAGTCTGTCATACTTTAACATCTAATAAAAATTTATCACTTCGTTTAATAAACCCTAATGTTACTCATTTCTAATTTTGATTACTTAATTTGTCGCTGAAAGGGCGTGGCCTTTATCAATGCCATCATTGCAAAAACCATCATCACGAACTTTTCAAATTCTGGGGGGGAATGATTAGGCTAAAAAGGGAACCAACTCGTTGCAACGTCGATAATTACTCCAAAAACAATTAGTTTTTCACTGGCCTTTGTCCAAGTGAAAGATGGAGGTTTCCATTTATAGGCAAAATCAAATTTGATGCAAACTACTCACGACCCTCGATTTTCAATCTTATCTCCATTGATGTTCTTTGGGTGGTCCATGCTAAAGTGGGCGGACCGCACTAAACCATGGCCAGCTTTCGATTGCACTTATTAAAAAAAAAACAAACGTCCTTTTTCTATGATGGGACGATCCAGTGATATGAGAATTATGTGATGATTTCAAAACTATAGTGAGATCAAATAATGTTGATTACGCATGAAATTTGAATGTCCAATAGTTGTCGAGCTGAGTAGCTTCTGATTGGTGGCCTTTCTTTGGCGCTTCGAGCTTAATTTGATAGATTCAGCGACCGGTCGATCACGCGCTAGCATATTCGTGCGTGTCTCGCTATATGACACCTTTGTTATAGCGCGTCTCCTTATATGTCATGGACTAAGCGTGTCAAAAATTTATCGGGTGGAGTGCCCATAGAGAGAGTGCATTAGTACTCCGAGCTGAGCAGTAATGTTAGTATTATGCCAAGATGGTTTTACAAAATCGTTACACTAAGAGATGTAACGGACCGTAAATTAATAGATATTTACATAACAGTAAGACATGTCTAGAAATCAATTATCGTTTTGTCACATGACATGATGAATTACTTCTGAATATTAATCTTAGTTTACTCAGCATGATTTGTGCCAGGCATTCAAATTTATATAGGCACTAACTCACTAGCATGCTCGTGTAACTTTGTCTAGGTGCATGCAGTGAATAGTCATGCAGTGAATAGTCCATTGCCACTTGTATATATATATATATATATATATATATATATATAAAGTAGTACAATGGGGAATATACGTAATGGGTAAGCATGCATATCCCCTTAAAACAATTGATTAATCTGTATGGATCTAGGCTTTGAATATACGAAATTATTCGACCTTATCACCATAAAATAATGGAAAGAGTTGGGTATATTCGGTCGAGAGGGGGGAGAATAGCATTGGATTCTCTGAGAGGGGAAAAGATGCAAATTTACAAAATGTGCAAGCCGCAAAAGATAAAGATGCTGTTGATAATTTATTTATTTATTTATTTTAATTTCTTTCGAATAAAAGAAGATAACAAAATTTTGTTTAATAAAAAGTATGACAAGGAAAGATGAGAGAGATGAGATGCTGTTTGACACCTGACGTGGGTGCAAAAAAGACAGTGGGATTCAATCCCGAGGAAGAAGCGCAGCAGCAGAGATTGGTCATCGCCATTTTCACTGTTTTCCAAACTGGTAAACGCTCTTCTCTTTCCCATCTTTTTCCTCGCCTTCACTGTCCATTTCCATGATTTCACTGTGATCTCATCGATCCCTTTTGTTCCTTTCAAGTCAATGTCAAGTCAAACCAAAGTCACCCCACCTTTCGTTTCTTTTCTGTGACCCAAATAGAACCAGTATAAAACTTACTACATCATTAAACGAATTGATTCCGTAAAAGTATTAGGTCGCGCATTCCCATCTCCCATCTCATCGATACCTCGTCGAGGTCGAACGGGAATTCGAATCGGCATTTGTGTGTATACATGGTGATCCTCAATCATTGAACCACTTAATTTCCAAATGGGTGTTTTCCATTCCCTTTTCTCGAGCATGATTAGCAAGTACTGTCGTGTATTATTATTGTCCAAAGGCACTGATAATTTCAAGATGAGAGTGGGGGCAGACAGAGAGAAAAGGACGGGTGATGATGGGACTTTCTCGGTCGGGAAAGTTGCTGCGATCTTTGCATGAGGGCAGGAATATCAGTGGCCTCTCTTTTTCTTGAGATTTCCACCCCCCCTGTGTGTTTTCGACATATTGTTATACAGGAAGCGAAAAAACACGAACATGACATCTTGATAAGAATCCTGTCTCCGCATGTACGCCGTTTGACACTGGCCACACGATAGCTCTGGTGCTGTAGTGGGGATCCGAGCTGGCCTTCATGGTGTCATTTAGCCTAATCCCTCTGGTGCTGATAGAGTTAGTTGGATGCATGGAGACCTGAGGATGTGAACTTTGGTGGAGATTGATTTGGTGCAGCCCTAGTATACCAAAGCATGGGTTTTTCTCTTGGTTAGCAATGCGTGATTGGCTTGCTACCAAAGACAGATTTGATCAAACGGCATATGCGAGTCGATTCTATTTGCTGTATGTGCAATGTGGGGCTGGAAGACAGACGCTTTTTTTGGTTGTTTCTGCTTCTAAAGGGAAATCATTTCCATGTTTGTATCTCAAGCTCTCAGGGAATTGGAATTCGTGTCACATTTGGATGACAACGAACAAATGCTTTCATGTTTCTTCTTTCATTAAAATACTGATTTGATTGTATAGAAGATAGTGTTATCATACCGATCGATAATGTGATCCCACGTTCAGTTTATTATCGCCTCCATTAATTAATTTTGTTGACGTTTTATTATCCGCATGGTGATCATCCAATATCTATCTTGACGAAAGAAATTGCCTATAAGGGTATGAATAAAGATATAAATAGGTTTGAGCCAAACCCTCTCATTATTTGATTTGAGATAGAGAAAAAACATGATCAATATTGAAAGGGCACACTACAAAAAAACAAGGGATTAGTGACGAATTTTGCAACGAAAAATTTGGCAAAATCCATCACAAATCGAATTTGTGACGGAAAAAATTCCGTCGCTAATAGGGCGTCGCAAAATTTTGCGACGGAAAAAAATTCGTCGCAAATTAGCCACGAACACTATCCGTCGCAAAATTCGTCGCAAATTAGCCACGAACTTTATTCGTCGCAAAATTCGTCTCAAATAATTTGTCGCAAATTAGCCACGAACACTATCCGTCGCAAAATTCGTCGCAAATAATTCGTTGCAAATTAGCCACGAACTTTATTCGTCGCAAAATTCGTCGGAAATTTCGTCGCAAATTTCGTAGCAAATTTAGTCGCAAATTTAGTTGCAAAATTCGTCGCAAATTTCGACGCAAATTTCGTCGCAAAATTCGTCGCAAAATTCGTCGCAAATTAGCCACGAACTTTATCCGTCGCAAATAATTCGTCACAAATTAGCCACAAACTTTATTCGTCGCTAAATTTGTCACAAAATTCGTCGCAAAATTAGCCACGAACTTTATTCGTTGCAAAATTCGTCGCAAAATGTATTCGTCGCAAATTAGCCGCGAACTTGATTCGTCGCTATTTATTCGTTGCAAATTAGCCACGAACTATAATGGTCGCAAAATTCGTCTCTAAATATTCGTCGCAAATTTTACACCATTTGGGCCATCAAATCTTGTCCATATCAATAGCTACGCATTAATGAACATCATGTAATACATTCAAAACAATCAAAGGACACAAGACAACCATAGATTTCGCTTCAGAAACAGAAATCGAACAAACCAGACACAATGCCATATAATTGAAAAATATAACTGAAGGAAAGATGCTAGTCCGCAAAAAATAATGATATATGCAAAGTTGCAAAGTCCGACATGATGCTATTTGATATCCAATCTTATAATACATTCAAAACATTCATAGGAGGCGGGACAACCAATGGTTAAAAAACGAAAAATCGACAAACCAGACACAAGATTAGGCAGCTTTGGTACTCGGTAGGACACCAAAAGCAGTCACTTTTGTCGACACCTGATGAAATGTTGATACATAAATAAAGATATTCAATCAGTCCAGAATATAAAAGAAGCGTTTATGCATGGATGTGGAACTAGGTATAAAAAAACAAGTAAGAGGGTTAACAAAAAAACGTTTCGGGACGAACATCAATGTTCTTACATATGAATATGAGTCAACTTTGACATCCACTGTAGTTTTTTCACCCTTATAAACCGTATTTCTGTCACCTAGGAAAAATTAGATCCTTGTCCAAACAGCATTAAACAATTTAATGACTTAGAGAGGTGAATTACCAACACCAATTCCCAGGAAGAGAGGACTCAAAGTCAATTAAGGCATGTATTTCTACAATGTTCAAATATCATGATTTTTTTTAACAAGCATGTCATCCTGGGATCTCTAAATTTTCGGTTTTTCGCAAGCAAAGAACCTAGTTGTAAGAAAGTTGTGCACAAAAAGTAATTGTAGGGCAGGAACATATTGGGTGAAACTGCACTTATGTCATAAAAGATTGTGAAGCAAGCTTACCCCCGATTTTAAGAATTTTAACTAGAAAGGACCGAGAAAATCATCATCATCATCAACAATCTCAGCATCATTGTGTCACTCATCATTGTGCCCATCACCTATTGGATTGGCGGGAGGTACAGGAGGAACCTCATCGCGATTGAGGTTGAGGTGTCGCATAACAATTTGCATTTGTTGTTTCAAATCATTTATTTCTTCGTCCTTCTCTACAAGTATATTTTTCAGTTGGTTCAATTCTTGGATCAATTGCTCGTCATGTCGTGTCCTCCTTCGACCAGCCGCATTGGATGATGAAGTTGCAGCATGATTCGGCATGTACATACTTAACAAGGATCCCATCCCAAATATTTTTCCTTTTTTCATCCCACCCGATGCCTCCACCCATAATGCCATACTGTCAACTGATGGCTCAGACGCAGCAACACCATCACCACCACTAGCATTGCTCATTAAAAGTTCATCATATTTTTTCTACATTAACAATATAGATGAAAATAAAATAACTTCATATATATATCTACCATAAATATTAAAAGCATTCACGGTTTTCATTCTAGTTTCCATAAAGTCCAAAGTATAACCTTACATACCTTAATAGCTTTTGCTCGATCGCCCGTCCATGTCTTATCTTTCTTTTGAAATGTGCGTTCAAATGTAGCTGCAAATGTCGGTTCCGTCCCCAATTCATGTGCCTATAAAATGTAAACATGAGTAATTGAATTAAATTAACTTATAACTTATTTAACAGACTTACCATTCGTTTGCGATGCTCCCAAATGTTGATAGAGCCCCCAGCATATGTGGCAGACCCTTCACTAGAACTAGAAGATCGATTCTTTTTATTCTGCTCGCTGATTTGCTGACTCTTTTCAGTTTCCTAAATTCTGTTAATTTCCGTCCAATTGTCAGCTGTAATGAAAGCCGGCTTCACTTGCTTGATCTTCGCTCTATTCATCACATTTCGTATGTGATCACCGACTTTCTTCACAAAAATTCTTCTCACTTCATTATCTTCCTCTTCATCCCACCTGAACTTCCGCTGCAATTAATACAAAAAAAAACTGAAAGTTATTATGATGGTCACATATCCATTACCATGCACCAGACAATTCGGCGATAGATTTTGTAAAGTTCATCTCGGGAAAAATATCTGGTCCCTTTAGTACCGAAAACTAAAGAGTTGTTCTGGTCCCTTTACATCATTCTTGACCATCAATATACTACACCGAACTTAGTTGGTGAGAAAATAGAATATCTAAAACTTACCTTGAACTCATTCCACCACAAATCTTTCACTTCTTGTGGAGCACTTCTGTAATTAATATACTGCCCCATCCAATAGTTTTTGACTATTTTATTCAGTTTCCTCACAACAAACGGAGCATCCGTGAATCTGCAAACATACGGATATTGTGCAACATCGACAATTCAGTTGACATCAATATCTAAAACCATATATATTACATATACTAAAAAAAAAATGAAGTACTTACGAATCTCCAAATGGGCATATCATGAATCGGTTATCTTCTTCACCTGTGTTTCCGTCATTATTCGATTGTTGTGCTGAATAATAAGGTGGAACGGAAGGAAAGGGAGCTAAAGGAGATGGAACTGGAGGAGATTCAGTTCGCATGTGGCCAAGTCCCCTAACATGTTCTTGAGTGTTGGAGGAAGGGCCAACGTGTCCATATTGTCCATCAGCATATAGTGGTTGAGGGTTAGATGAAAGGACAGGGGAAGAGGAAAGGGACGGGGACGAGGACGAGGACGAGGAAGGGGCTGGTCTTCTATGCATGTGACCTCCACGTTTATACTGACAAGTAGGAAGGTTAGACAAATATGTAAAAAAATATGAACACGTATTACGGACACATAATGACGTACATGACGAAGCTTACCATTTTGTTTCAGAAGCAGAAAATGTTTCCTCTTAATTAGCCAATGCCGAGCGTTTTATGACGTGCAATTTCCTACGAACAAATATACTATGGATCACACTCATTTTGATATAAAACATCAATATATGAGCACGATATGCCATGCTAAGCCGACAATAATCATAATTAACCACACAATCCACTTTCAAACCACACGATAATTCATCAAGTACAAGATCAACCATGAAACATCAATTTCAGCCACAAGATCTTCATTCTCGGTCACACGATCATCAATCAACCCACACGATCGGGCCATAGTTAATCAATTAGCCACAATTAAGCAAATCAACCACACGATTAACCTAATTAACCATACGATTGGCATTAAACAACTAAGGGTGCAAATGGTAACCATTCTGCTCCAGAAATCAAATTGTTACCAGAAATTGATTTTTCGCATTCTTGCCAGAAATTGACTTCTGAAGGAGAAATCTGTTTGGTAAAACATGACTAATTCTGCTCCCGAAATTGATTTTCTAGAATAGAACTCTGTTTTGATTTGTTGAATTTTTTTGCACTTAAAAAAATTTAAATTTTACTCAAACTGGGTGGCCACAGGTGTTACAAGCCATTCTGTAAAGTTTTGAAATTTTGAATTTTTTTAATTTTTTTTGGGCACGTAAAAAATTTTTTTTTGACTAAAAATGAGTGGCCATAAGTATTCTAAGCCATTCCGTGAAGTTTTGAATTTTTTGAATTTTTTAATTTTTTTTGGGCACCTAAAAAAATTTAAATTTCACTTAAAGTGGGTGGTCACAGGTATTATAAGCCATTCTGTGAAGTTTTGAAATTTTTGATTTTTTTAATTTTTTTTTGGTCAACTAAAAAAATTTAAATTTCACTCAAAGTGGGTGGTCACAGGTATTCTAAGCCATTCTGTAAAGTTTTGAAATTTTTTTATTTTTTTGGGCACTTACAAAAATTTAAATTTCACTAAAAGTGGATGGCCACAGGTATTCTAAGCCATTATGTCAAGTTTTGAAATTTTTTTATTTTTAAATTTTTTTGGGCTACTAAAAAAATTTACATTTCACTAAAATTGGGTGGCCACATGTATTCTAAGATATTCTGTAAAGTTTTGAAATTTTTTTTAATTTTTTTGGACAACTAAAAAAATTTAAATTTCCCTCAAAGTGGGTGGCCACAGTTATTTTTAGCCATTTTGTTATATTTTAAAATTTTGGTTTTTTTTATTTTTAAAGAAAAAATTCACCAAATTTAATATTTTCCCAAAATCTGACTTTTTTTAATTTTCTGGAAATTTTTATGAATTTTTCTAGAATTTT